TTCATTGTCCCTTTCCCTTTCCTCGTTCCAACCGACGTTGTTATACGTGAGGATCGTGGCGAGGGGCATGATCGTGCAGAGCGTGGTCAACAGGTAGAGGAGACAGGGAAGAGACAGGTGGCCGGCCGATATATTCACGATGTCGGGGACGATGCTGAAAACCAACAGTGGCCAGTGGCCGCGATCCCTCGTTGCGAGAGCCAGTGCAGTTTTATTTTTCCGAATTTTTCTCGAAAAAGATTGGTAAATGAGAGTCGATCGATCGATCTCTACGATCTCTACGATGACATTTATATCGAGGTTTGCATCAGAGAAGTGTTATTATATATGCGAGTTTGTGTAATCCTTGTGAAATCCTTCGAGTGGATGTTCGCGATAAAATTCGTTTTTTAAGATTTTTAATAGAATATAATTCTACGACGATGAGATAAAGAACGGATGTTGAACGGATCGGAGGAAGTTTAATAAAGAAAGGGATTCTAAGCATTCTCGAATCGGGATTCCTTTATTAACGGACTTGGTGGCATCTGGATGTTGCGAGTGGAGAAGTTTGCAAGGTAATCAAGTTTGATTGGTACTTGGTTGGTGGTGACGATAATTAATGCCGCGAGGTAATTAAGTTTGATCGGTGGCCAAGCGACGATTACCGGTGTTACGATCTAATTAAGCTTCATTGACACTCTAAGATTACGCGCGTGATACGATTAAATTTTCTATTTAGTTGATATTGACTCGTAGCTTTAACTGTTGAAGTGTTGAAAGATCGAAAAATAAAAAAAATAAAAATCAAAGGAGCAAAGGTTGTACTTTTATCGGTGGGCGTGAAATTTCGAAAGGTCGAGACTCGATCTTTGGTGATGAGGAGGTATAGAACGTTAACAGTGAGATCGTTCTTGCATCGTTCTTGGTGACTGTGAAAGTGGAACGAAGTGCGTTGTTTCGAGCGTCTTTTGTTATCGGAAGAGCCAAGTGGTGGAGCAGCAGCAGCAGCATTGCCAAGTACGCAACACGCGTAAGTGTCGATCGATATTTGTGTCAAGTATTTCGTATATTCTGAACGAAACATAACGATACGTGCATCTTGTTTTTCGGCAAGATGTGCCACAATAATTGGATATATACATATTCTCGAGGGGATTCGATTGTTGCGAATGTTGTTTGATATTCCGTACGTGCGTGGATGAGTCACGGACGGAGTGCCACAGAGTTCCACATGCTTGAAATCATTCGACGTTGAAGAATTGTTAATTCCTTGTCTTCCGTGGAGAAAGAAGGCAAAATGTAGGCGCGATTTAATATTTTATTTACAAATGTCGAGCATGTCGAAATGATTAACTTTGTAAATGGACGAATAATGAAGCTCGATCGAAATTTTTAATACGTGAATGAATCACGAACGTAGCCAATCATTCGATGTTGGAGAATTGTTAATTCCTTGACTTTCGTGGAGAGAGAAGGCAAAATGTAGATGTGATTTAATAT